CCGGCCCTCCCTCGCCACCTCCTCCCTCCCTTGGCTCTCCCGACCCCGGCCCTCGCCCCATCCCCCCCTTCTTCCTCTACTTCTTTTCGCGGCCCGGTTTAATGGGATTTCGATGTGGGAGCAACGTCACGGAGGGAGGGTGGGGGGAGGATTGAAATCAAAGGGACTTGCCTCCCACCCGATACGCCTCGGAGGAGACGGAGAAACCAGACAAGAAGAAGCAGGGAGGTCCGGGAGAGTGTGAGGGAGAGAGAAACGATGAGTTCGCCCGCGGTCGGGGAAGATGGGGGTGTGTTGTGTGGGCGGGAGAGTTTAAGAGGGGCCCTTGTTCCGTTCCGTTGTAGCAGCTTTCAAAGAGATGAGACGGCGACGACGCTTGCCGGCAATTTTCTAGCCGAGTTTGGCGCGCGCGCTGCGTTCCGGCCGAAGGAGGAGGGGGCCGAGCGAATACCGCCCTGGACACCACGCTCGCGTCCTGGCCTGCACCACCTCCCCTCCCCCTCCTCCCCCCTTTCCTGGAAACCTCACAAGGAGACTTAGGTAAGTGTAAATTCCCGATTCGGTTCAAACTCTGTATATTTGCTTCTTGACCATGTAGATGACGAACGCCGGTCGAATTTTGTGCTGAAGTTCACATCCTGGGGTACTTTATAGGAGCGTTTTATAGAAAAAGTTTAGAAATTCGACATAAACTCGTGGAAGGCGTTCTCAAATCGAAAAATGGAAGAGGAACTACCCCCCCAAAACCGCACATTCTGAGTCGGAATAACACTTTAAAAAAATGTTAACATGAAATTTTTATTTTTTGGGAATTATAGGCCCGTATAGGCCCCTATAGGGAGTTTTGACATTTGAACTTCAGCACAAATTTTGACGCGCAATAGTCATCTATAGGGATAAGAAGCAAATATACCGAGTTTGAACCGAATCGGGAATTTACACTTACCTAAGTCTCCTTGTCAGCGGCGCGGCGCGCGCGAGCGCTAGTTTGTTTGGGCGCTGCAGGAAGTAAGTTGTCTGTCGAAAAGTTTTTCCCTTTGTATGCGGCGAAGCCTGGTGAACATACCCCTTCTCTCCCTCTCTCCTTTCCGCTTCACCTTCCCTCTCCTCTATCTCTCTCTCCATCTCTTTAGCCCCAAAGTGCAGCCTCGGCTCGCCAGCCCGACTGACCACAACCACCGTGCACACCACCACCACCGCCGTCGCGAAGGAAAACAACGGCGGCTACTACACGGTCGTTTAAGTTTTACTACGCGTACAATGACGCACACGAGGCTGCTGCTGCGCTGCGGCGATCGTGAGGAAAGGACAACAAAAAGTCGTCGGGGACGTGAGGCGATAGCAGGACCTCATCAGCAGCTCGGCCCCGGCCTCGGCCCCGGCGGCAGCGTGCACAGGTGTGCTCGATAAGGGCGGGCCAGTCATCTCTCGAGCTCATCACAACACGCGTGCACCGTTCTCACAGTTCTTACGTTTTCTGGTCTCGAAATTCCTCATCTGCTATGGCCGACGCCGACGTCCCTCTCTCTCTGGGTCGACGCGCACGCGACGACGCCCACACTCCCCCCAGGGCTTATTCAGCACGCCGTCGTCGTCGACGTCCTGGCCATAACGATCGCCCCAGAGGTGTCCACCGCCGGTCACCGCTTGTCGTCTATTTTCTCTTCTCACTTCGCACAGCGATGACGCAGCCGGCCGGCCGGCGGCAGGGCAGCAGAGTGACGCCAAGTGGAGTGGCCGGGCGTCGCGTCGGCGTCGGTCAGCCCGGCCGCGCGTCCACACGCCCCGCGCGTGGCGGCCCCGTGTTGGAGCTGTGCTGTGCGGCACCCAGATACATCGACCAAGGGCCATACGGATAGTGAGAGAATCCGAGCGAAAAGAGGACAAAGGTAGACCTGAGGAGGCGGCGTGGCGTGGCGTAGCGTAGCGCCGTCCTTAAGAGAAAGCAGAAGGCAGGCGACCATACTGATGTGTATTCATCAGCTGTCGATAAACCAAAGTTTTGTAGAGTTTGTAAAAGAAATTGTTATAGATTGCTTTGAAGTAGCAATGTTGTGTGAAAACTGGTTCGTCAAATTTTGGCTTTGGGAAAAAGTAAGTTTACACAATCTTCATTCAAAACCGTCCTGGTGTCGTTGTCTAGGTTAATGTTCGGACACATTGCATTGGTACAATTTTGACTCAACGACTATGAATCAACTGTCGAAATAAACCTTAATTGAAGGTGATACAAAAGTGGCAAAAGTATAGGCCCGTTCAAAGCTATTTGAAATCTTATGACACGCAACCTAACCTCTCGTAACCTCTGCTAGACTGCTAGACTATGCCTTGTTTAGGGCAGGAGCTACCTTCTTCTTGTTCCTCTTTATCGAGCAGCTCGCTCATATGGAGATTTAAATTAAAAAAAAATGAATCGGAGCATTTTCATATTAGTTTTGCTTTTTGTTGTTTTGGAAAATATTCCATTCGCTCGCTGTGCAGCGAGCGGGCTCTCCTGGGCACGGTGCAGTGTAAGCCCAGCCCTATACACGTCAGGAGAGAAAACCCTCCCTCCGCAGGGGCCGCGCAAGGGCGGCAAAGAGAAAATGAACGGAAATCCCCCCGAAATCTGTGCGCGCGTTAACGCATCTGGGCTACGGCCCGTTCTTCACGACCGCCACCCTCTCCTTCCTTTCTCCCCTTTCTTTTTAGACCACCCGCTCTTCGGCTTTGAAAAAGCCATATCAGCGGGCTTAATAGCTTCTGGCCCGCCCGCCTGTCCGTCCTCCAAAAAGAACTCGAGATAGAGGTCTAAAATGTTTAGGGGGTGCCGTAGGGTTGGGGCCCATCTCTGGACGCCGGACCGTTTGGTGCAAAACGAAACGAGCCTATCCCACTTAAGGAATAAATCGTGGTGAAAAGGAAGAGCGGCGCTGTGCCTCTACATAAATGCTGCTTTTGCACGGTGTGCTTCTGCACAGTTGTGCTTTTGCACAGGGCTTCGCTATCCATGCCATTCTCGGTCCACCGCCCACCCGCCCTGTCCGCGGCGGCACCACGGATGTCTCTCCCTGCCGCAACACCCGCGGGGGAAGACTTTTGTCTTTGTTGCCGGACCGGACGGGACCGGATCACCAGACTTGCCCGGAAGCGTTTGTTGTAGCGCGCGAGCAGCGAGCATGAGGGAGACGGTGGTGGTGGGGACACGGGCGGTGACGGTCGAGCTGTGTGCGGGCCCCGCGCGCTGGCAGACGGCCCTGGCGCCGGCGGGCCCCTCGCCCTGGCCTGGCACGGTCGCACCAGCTGTGTTGTGAGTGCGAGCAGGTGACTACTCGCGGGGCGGCGGGGTGAGGTGAGGCGCAGCGGGCGGGCGGGGCAGACGCTCTGACCCTCATTGGCGCCGGGTCACAGACTGCTCGGGCGCGCCCCGCCCGCCGATGCCCGCGCGGCTGACTCACTCCGCGCTGCCTGCCTGCATACCTAGTTAGTCCAGGGCCGCGCGGCCGGGCGGGCTTCCGCCTCCTCCACATGATTTGCCCTCCGAGCGCGCCGATCGGCGCATGGTCGATTCCAAACGACAACAGCAGCAAACAACAACAATCTCTGTGTCAACACATGCCACGCGCTGCGTTCCCATTACTATTCCCTCTCTTTTGACTGCCGCGAGCGCGCGCGAGATGCTCGCCGCCATACCGCCGGCGCCACACATACTTCTCCGCGCGGCTTGTTTCCAGTCCCGCGCACTCCCATTGTGTCAGCAGCTCCCCACCACCACCACCGCCCGCGCGGCCGCGCACGACGTCATCGCTCGTCGGTGACGTCCTCGCCGCGCGGCCTGCGCGCCTGCCGCCGGCCCGTGGCCAGCCGCGGCTCAGGTGGCCCGGCCGGCCGCGCGCTGGGTGTCCGTCCCTACTGTACCAACCAGGGCGCAGGCCCGCGGCAGTAGGAGCAGATATCGCATTTATTCCGCCGACTTGATGATGCTGCGCTGTGTGTCCGAGACCCGTGCGGCGCACGACACGACGGCCCCCGCGGCGGCGCGGAGCAGCGTTGTATGGACTTTGCGGATCTCATCTCCATGCGCTGCTCTCCCTCTTCCTCTCCCCCTTCCTCCCCTCCTCAACCTGCTGCGGCTGTGTTTGCAGTTGGAACTTCCTACTCGTGCTGCTCTTTCGTTTACCCGCGCGCGCGGCGCAGCCAGGCCTCGCGGCCGAGTTGTAATCGCCTCTAAATAAGGCATGAGGGAGCAGGGCGGAGCAGGGCGCGCGGCGGGGTGGGGCGCGCGGCGCGCGGGGAGTCCTTTTGGGGCTGCGCGGCGCGCGAGCCCGGCCAGCGCTCCCTCTGCTTGTTGACTTTGCTTTCGCCGGCTGAGGGGCGGAGCTTAAGGTCACCTGCCACCGCTGCAGCAGCAGCAGCGCCTCCCCCGCCCCAATGTTATTGTTTTTCTTCTTCTTAAAGGAATGCAACGGAAAGGAGAGAAAAATAAAACCGACCTTTGGATTCTGGTTTTTAACTGCCATGTTGTTGACAGTGCCTTCTCTCTGCTTGCAGCCTCGTCGCGTCGCGGCGTGGTCCGGTGCCCGGTCCCGGTAGCCTGCCTCTCGCCCTCCATCGGGATGGTCTCGACGCCGAGGTGTCCTGGACGGTCCCTGGACAGCCAGGATGCGTCCTCATCGGGACCCCTGGCTGGACGACGGGGGCGGTGTTGACGCTGACCGAGGGCCAGCAAGTCAAGAAGACTGAGACAGAGCGACAGTTGAAAAGGAAGACGCACAGAGCGGGACCATGTCGTCGGACAGGGTCTCCGACAGCAAGACTGCCCTTCGGGGCAACCCCATCCGGGTCGGCTTCTACGACATCGAGAGGACCATCGGCAAGGGCAACTTCGCCGTGGTGAAGCTCGCCCGCCACCGGATCACCAAGACTGAGGTATGTCGATCGACCGATTTGGAGCACCCGACCCGGGCTTATATTGAGGGAGGGGGGGAGGGCCGCCACCTCCACACAGCTGCGTGGCGGGTTGGCCTACCCTGCGTGTTGCAGGCGCTAACCTTACCATTTTGAGCCGCCTATGGAAGACGTTCGTCGTACAGGGGAATATTTTAGATCCAATGTTCTTTCTACTTAAACCACTTCTACTTGCACATTCAAAACGGTTCGATGCCACCCAACTTCGACCTGCCCAACTGTCAGCTGGGCCCACCTTTCTTTGCCGTGCGCGTCGTTGATGGTACATAACTTTCACCCCGCTCAAACTTCCCCCCTTTCGCGCCACTTGGCCCACCTTCGCCACCTCACTGCCACCCGCCTGGCTACTTATTACGGCTCTCCCCACAGAGGGGTGTGGGGTGGGGTGGTGGTCGCGGGGCACCCTCCTGTAACCGACCGACAACCATACAGCCGCGGAGATAGGGCTCTCTATCAAACAGGCGCGCGGGTCTATTCTCATCGCCACAGTGCCCCCCCCCCTCTCTCTCTCTCTCTTTCTTTTTCTATCGCCCCGCTCTCTGTTTTTGCCGCGCGGTCCGGCCGCTGGCCGGCCGGCCCGTTATTATTGCCGTAGCGACGTGATAACGGCCGATATACCCGCGACCGTAGCGCGCGCGGCGTGGTCCCCGCCGTAGGTGACGCCGACGCCTGCCCCGGATATATCTCGGCCGCAGAAGCAGGACGCACGGTACATACAAGCAATGTCTCATTTTTTGAGGGAAAAGGGAAAACTTCGAGGAACTCCCCTGGTTTGCCGAAAACTCCTCAGATTTCGAGGAAGTCTCCTCAAAAAGTGTGGAATTTTTTCTCATTTTTTGAGAAGATCCCTCAAAATCTGAGGCGAGATCGGAGGACCCCTCCTCAAACTTATGAGTTCCTCAAAGTTTTCCCTTTTTCCTAAAAAAAATTAGACATTGTGTTCAACGTGCGTCAGTCGCAGCCTGTGCGCCCCGCACAAGTTTGCTTTTTGTTCTTTAAATTGTTATGTATAGTTTGCTCTTTGGCATCGCAACGCGTTTTTTAGGCCCCCGTTAGGGGTGCCTATTGCTTTCGCCCGAAAGTTTTTAGGCCCCCGATTAGGGGTGCCTATTGCTTTCGCCCGAAAGTTTATTCTTGACGATGGCCCCTTATGGCAGAACCAATCGTGCCTAAGCGAATTTAATGAAATTTGAATAAAAAATA